CCCCAAAACCCCAAAACCCCATCGGTTATATTCTTGTCCAATATTTAAAGCCATGTCAAAATATTGATCATAATTAATATTAAAATCATCAATTGGAAAGATATATCAATTTATGTTCAGAGATAAACAGACTCTCATTGCAAATTTTTATGAGTTTTTATTGGAAGGGAAATCCCCTACAAATAAGACTCATAAGTATTGTCTCTATCAGTACAAATTGACAACTGTACCAAAGATAGATAGAGATAAATTTCTCAAAATAAGACATTTGCTCATTCAGCCAAATAAGCTCAATGATGGTGAAAATTCTGATGAGACTAAAACTTCGGTCTCATAGGATGACAAGATGGAAAACGATGCTGATGTCAACAAAGATGATAATATGGTTAACAAGGAATCAAGTGCAAATAACAATAGCAAAGTTTAAAGCTAATTAGATGAGCAAAAAAGCAGCTAAAAATAGCAGTCAGCAGACGAGTTCATTCTTGAAAAATACTTAGGCAAGTATTTCAAGTTCCTCAAATTTAACTAGAAATACATATCAGAAATTAATTAAAAGTCATATTTCCATCCATGTTTACTCTATTCAGTAAAGTTTATCCAGCAGCTGATTAGTTATAGTAAAACTATAAAGGATAAACAATTTACAGTAACCATAACATTTGACAAAGAAATCGATCTTAAAAATAGTGAATATGGCTAGACAATAATGCAGCAATATTTTAGAGACTATCTATTTAACTAGGTGATTAAAAAATGCTATCCAAATTACAAGAGACTGGGATATACCCAGATATTCAACCCAGAAAGAGTAACAAACTTAAAAGAATATGACATTGAAATTTGGTCGGGATTCAGAATGGAGGTGAAGCCAATAGAGTAAATACCCATGCTAAACATTGATATTGATTACCTTGTTGTAAGATTAGAAACTGTATTAGATGTTATCAATGAGATTAAAAAGATTTATGTAACTTACGGAGAAAGTTAGGCTTGCTAAGAAAGGCTTTAAAAAGATATTAGGAAAGCCTTTGTTGGCAAAGCAGTCGTTACAAGGTATAACAATAATGTTTACAAGATAAAAGATGTAGACTTTAATCAGAATCCTGAGTGCTATTTTGTGCAAACTATAGTAGATATTGCTAACAACAAGAAAAAGCTTATTAAGAAATCATATACTTAGTATCTTGAGGAAAAATACTATAAAACAATTACTGATAAGGAGTAGCCACTGCTTGTGACTAGTGACAATATATGCTTGGTGCCTGAGTTTTGCATGGTAACAGGTTTGTCCGAAGAAACTTGGAATTCCCCAAGTTAGCTTAACTAAGTAAGGGATGTGGTTAATGCTACTAAGCCAGATGTAATGAGAAGAATTGTTGACATAAAAAAGGACTTCTTTGATGTACTCTACAAGAATCAAAGTTAATTCAATTTCGACGAAATTAAAATATCAAACTTTCCACATATTATGGAAGGGGTAAAACTTGAAATGCCTACAGTTTAAATGGCAAAATTACCATAGGGTCCTAGAGTTGAGATAAGTACTAAAAATGTGGAGGAGTTTGAGAGGAAGATTTTCTAGTAACTACCTATAAAAATGTTTGAAGCACCTCCACTTGAATAATGGGCACTATTCTATCATGAAGAAGATGAAAGTCTAGGGAATAAATTAGTTCATACTCTTAATGAATCATTAACAACTTTCAATTATCACGCAAAACCAATCTAAATAATTAAAGTTAAAGGAAATAAATTCTAGGATTGGCATTAATCAATTAGGGATAATTTATCAGTTACAGTCATAGCTGCAGTTATATTGATTCCTGGTACCAAAGGTCTCCCAAATTAATTATACTCTGACATCAAGCGAATTTTAATCAAAGAGATACCTGTGCCTTCTTAAGCTATACTCTCTTAGACAATAGAGAAATCTAAAAGTGCGCTATTTTCGGTATGCAATAAACTCATAATGCAGATTTGCGCTAAAATAGGAGGGGAGCCTTGGGCTATTAGTGAATTACCATATTTCTACGACTGCACAATGGTTTCAGGATACTATATTACAAGCAACTTGATATCCTATGTTTGTTCACTAAATTCAAAAGCCACCAGATACTGGTCTAAATGCTTGAGCGTAACAAATGAATAAGGAGATAGCTAAATAGTGCAGCAGTAAACTTGCTTGAAATTATCGAGTTTATTTTTCGAGTCTCTCTTAGCCTTTAAATTGAGAATGAACTGCTGCCCAAGTCAGATATTTTTATTTACTAATCAAAGGTATCAGGCGAAAGAAGAGATTCAGCAAGAGTTAGATGCTATTCAATAGATATTAAGCAAAATGCAACTAGGAGCGAAAATAACATTGATTTAAGTAGATCCAAGCGTTTAGACTCATGTGAAAATGGCTGTGGTTGAATAACCCAATAGGTTAATACCAATTTCACATGGTCTCGTTATCATTGAAAAGAATAATACTTAAAATTAGTAAAGTTCACCTGCATTTCCTTGCAAACTACCCCTTGATTTCTATCTCTCCTCATATTATAACAAAGACATTAATCAAACAACAGTGACTCAGTATAGAGTGATAAAAGATGAGATATGTTGTCAATCTGGAGTTGAAAATGGCTATGAGCAGCTATTTTAACTGATTCATAGACTATGCTTCCTATATTTTAATCATATTGGCCCAGTTGATATGCCTGCTTGTCTGAAATATGCTTTTAAACAGGCATAAATTTTGCAAGAATTCGGATTTAAAAAGAATTAGATATTAAGTGCACATGAACACTATGATAAAAATATACTAGGTCTTTATTATTTATGAATTAAAAATTGAGCTAACTTTTAATTAATTCTGAGGGGTTTTGGGGTTTTGGGG